TAATATGTGTTACATATTATTTTCAAAGATTGAAAATGCAATTGGAAAACAATTATTTATCTCCATGTATACTCATTAACGACGGAGAAAAATGATTCAAAATATTACTAAGTGACTACATAATGATCATATAAGATTCATATCACAAGCAAATTATTTTCCTCTAGAATAAAATATGTCTCCAAAATATTGCAAGAGGCATAAATATCGGTCTCAACATGCTTCTAAATAATAAATATAACATTAGAGAAAGATTTTTGTTTGGGTTAAAAGATATCAAATATTAATCCAATCAAATAGATAGTTATATCATGGAAAACAGCCAGAGCCGGAAATCAAAGAAACGACTTACAGTCGGGTACAAAGAGAGGGATTTTTAGCTACCGAGTGAGCTACCCTATTGTTCTTCTGACCTACAAATCGCACACTAAACCCAGGATGAGCACGAAAATACTGACATATCTCTTCCAGGACTGCCCCCAAGTGACTGTCGCTTGTGTCGGCTTGATTAATTTTGTAGATAATGACCTTTGCATCGCCCTCGAACCGAACTTCTGACAAGCCACACTCCAAACACCAAATAATAGCCTCCCGAAGCACAAGCAACTCTACTACCATTGGCTCATCAATTTGAGGAATCTGCACCCCTTTAGCCCGAGGGAGCGTCCACACCGGATAAAAAAGAACCATCCCACCAGCCGAGTGAGACCCCCTCCTAGTCGCCCCATCCCACATGCAAACCAATCGAGAATCAACCACCTGAGTCCCTGGCTGAACCACCGGGAAGGACACCCTCGGTGCTTGGTCAACCAGCAGGCCCACCCATTCCTCATACTGCTGGTGAAATTGGCGCATTAAAGCCGGAATCCCAAACTGTTTGCCTTCAAAGACAACCCAGTTACGCGACCGCCAGATCCGCCAAAGGACGGCAACCACAGCCATGAAAGCGATGGTTGATGGACAAGGGCGAGCATCCGTTTGAGAAACAAAGGAAACGTGTGCCGAGGCAAGCCCTCCCCTAAATAGTCCAATCCCGAGTAATTCCAAAGAGCCCGCACAACCGACTTAACCGAGAACACCCCGTCAGATGTGTTATGCCAGATTAGTTTATCATCCACATTCTGCCGCGGAAGTGGGATAGCCTTAATGGCGCGACAGGTAGACGGGTCAAACCATTGACTAAGCTTATCATCAGCCCAATGCCCTTCCTCGTGGCAAATAACCTCCGCCACCAAGGGATCACCCCCTTCTGGAAGGACCCTTGGGTTATAGCAAGGGGGATCCAGCTGTAGCCCTGGAATCCAGTTAGAGTGGAGAAGGGAGGCCGATAGGCCATTGCCGATCTGCCATCTTAAACCCACATCCAATAACTCGCACCCAAACAGGATACTCTGCCATCCCCATGAAGGGCGTGAACGAGCTGTTGCGGCCAAAAAAGTTCCTTGAGGAAAATACTTCCCTTTATACACTTGAGCAAGAAGGGAGTGAGGTTCATTGAGAATACGCCAGCCAATTTTAGCTAAAAGAGCTTGGTTAAAATGCTCAAACCGGCGAAATCTCATCCCCCCATCATGCTTACTCCTGCACAGGTCACGCCAGGACACCCACCGAACCTTGGGATGGCCCTCCTCAACCCCCCACCAGAACCGGGCCACATGTCTATCCAAAAGTCGACAAAGAGAGAGGGGCAACCGGAAGCACGACATAACATGCAGGGGTAAGGCTAAAGCTATTGACTTAATTAATGTCTCCTATGCCGCCCACGACAATGTCCTTTGCTTCCACCCCTGCAGTCGCTCCAGTAATTTCCCCTCTAAGTACCGGAACGTAGCTATTTTGGAGTGTGCAATCAAAGTGGGTAACCCCAGATACTTGTCATGGACCCCTACTGCACCGACCCCTAGAATAGTAGCCAAAAACTCTTGATCAAGCAGGGCAACATTTTTGCTAAAACAGACTGTCAATTTCTCCAGATTAACCCGTTGACCACTCAGCTCCTCATATTCATTCAACACCTCAATTAAATTCTCGCACTCCTGAAGAGAACCTCGCAAAGATAATAATGAATGTTTTAGAACTTGTTGTAAGGCCCATATAATTGTCGCAAAAACCAATTTCGAAAACAAAACTATATGTATATACAAATCATTTTTGTCTATTCGTCGTACTAAAAATTCTTATTCGTCGTAATAATTATGTTAAATTTTCAATAATGCCCTTAGTTTATTTTGTTTACCTTCAAACACTTATCTCTTAAAATATTCTTTACATTTATATCTCTTAAAATAATTAATATGTTTAATTAATTTTTGTATACAAAATATTCTTAGCAATAATTTTTTTTAATAAAAATGGGCTAATGAATTGATCTATGATCCATCCAACCACTAACCTGCAGTTTAGTTACTTAACCAGACCAACGGGCTAAAACAGATCGAGGAAAAAAAACTCAACATACACATGTTCTTAAAAAATTTCCAAAATATACACGTTTATGAAAAAAATTCTCAATCTACACATGTTTGGGCTTAACTGCGGCTGTCAACAGCAGTGAATACACTCTCTGTGGCATACGAAATCAGTGAATGCATCATCGCGGTTGTCGGCCGCGGTGAACGCCTGACCTAAGGCTGAAACTTCAAACGAACGTAACTTTACGCTCGGCTATCCGATCGTACCAATTTTGTTTTTGATTACACATAACTTTTCAAGATTTTTCAATCTTCAACTCGACTTCATTCACATAAAGTTTTTTTATTGTGTATAAGTTTTTAAGAACTACGACTTTTACTAGGAAAGAAGAAATATTTTTGTGTATGCGGAATTTTGGGAATAAATCTTCCTTAAATTTTAAAAAATCCACATACATTCCAAAATTATGGTTATAATCGAAGTTGTGTAGTACTTAAAAAGTTATGCGGAATTAAAAAAAGTTTCGTGACATTCGGATTGCGGAGCACAAAGTTATGGTCTTTCAAAGTTTGACGAAATGAAAAAATTGCTCGTTCGGGGTATCAAAGGACATTTTTTTTAATGAAGGCAAGTTGCAGATTGAAAGATCTTGAAAAGTTCTGTGGATTGAATTTTTTTTGTTGTTCATATAGTCGCATAATCGAGCGCAAAATTACGTTTGTTGAAGTTTCAGCTTTAGGTCAGACATTCACCACTTTCGTCTGCCACAGTGAATGCATTCACTACTGTTGACAAATACAGTGATGCCCAAACATGTGTAGATTGGGAATTTTCATAAAACGTGTGTATTTTGGGATTTCCCCCAGATTGGCAACCGACTAGCAATCAAGTTTTAGTTGCTCAGGCGGCGCTCTAGATACTTTTTTTTGAAAGTGGTTCAATTAGATTGCAAATCGGCCAGACCCAGAAGAAAAGTCAATACATAATATAAAAAAGATAAGAAACAAAACCCCTAGCCCAAAGCCCCAAACAAACATGGATACCCAATAGGGCCCAAAACAAGGAGCTCAAACAAGAGGTCCCAATTCAAACCCTAGCTGCAAATGTTTCTTAAAGATACCACCGTTGCTTGAGCTTTTGGCCGCATCTCCTCCACCAGAACCATGACCGACGAAGCAAAGAAATGGAGTCGAAAACCACCAACCCGATCGGAGGAAGGCGGAGGACAACTGTAGCCTCCTCCGACCAATCCTCGCCGGACCAAACTTCCTCATAACCTCGACAACGACGAGCACCGCAAGCCTTCAAGCCGAATGGGCGGCCAATGAAGAAAGACCTTCTATCTCTAAGATCTTCAAACCGAGTCCAAACCAGCAGCCACATCTCCGAAATACCAAGATCCGCAAGGTAAAGCAAGGACGTAGACGAAGGGCATAAGGAAGAAGAGGCAAGCTAGATTCAAACCAATCCAGCCTCCTTTGCATCTAAGCATGATTCATCTCCATATATGAAAAAATCAGATCAGAGGAACATAAAATTAATCCACAAAGGGGAGGGAAAAGCCAATCAAAGGCAGGACAAACTGAAAGAAAAAAATGAGCAAACAAACGAAAGGAAGTGGGAGGGCCGTCGACGACAGTTGGAATCGCCGACGGCAGCCCCTTATAAATACAGAAAAGAGAAGAAGTTAGAGAGAAGGTAGAGTATTTTAATTTTAGATAGAAGGGAAAAGCTTCCACGACGCTCCTGATACGGTGCATAACCATGGGTTATACACCCATCAGTAACTAAATCTGGAGCCTTGATTCAAAAAATCCATATCTAAGGGTGGAGAATTAAATGCATTTTTATTTACTCTTGTTTTCTTAATCCGCTGATATCTTCTTCGTTTAAACTCGGATTTCATTTTTTTGCACAGATGAAACGAGTTTGTTGTGCTCTACCAAATGAGATCTATTTTCGATATTTTTTGAGAATTTTTTTTTTGCCTTTCATTAGCAAGTGCATACCACATGGTATCTTCTTCGTTTTTAAGTCGTTGTTAAAAAATTTTGCACAGAAGAAACGAGTTCATCATAATCTATTTGATTTAAAAATTTATGGGTGAACAAAATAAAGCACCAAAAAATACCACACAATACCATCCTGGTATGAGTTGGTATCTTGTGGTACACAATGTTAAAAGTCGTAAATGACAATTAGTATACTCCTATTAACATGTATTCAACCATCATACAGTCTTGGTATGTTCATACCAGCATGGTACTCTTTTCATACCATATGATATGCTCTTATTTCAATACCAGTCAATACCATATGGTATAAACTGGCAAAAAATGACTCAATTTTTTTGTTCAAAAAATATATCAAAGTGGATATCATTTTGAAGAGCACAATTAATCTGATCTAACTGTGCAAATATTTCAAATTCCGAATTAAAACGAGTGAGAAATCGTCTGTTAAAGATTAGGGAAAAATTAATGGTTTTCAGTACAGAGAAGAGACGCTGATAATATGGCGGATGAAGAATGCGTTATACATGGTTACTCAGCACAAGGTTACTGACGGGATCCGTTACCGCTGAGGTGGTCAGAGAACAAAAACCGCTCTCTACCCTACTTCGACGGCAGGACAGACGAAGGCGCCGCTGCCAGCTAGACGCTATCCGCTTGCGAGTTTCTTCCTCGACCTTTAAATTTTCTCTGATATTCTTCTTCTGCGCTCCAAGGTTTCCTTACTGAACTACGGTCCCTCTTTTCTCCTGATGTGTATAATAGTTAATTAGGGCTTAGCAAGGGAAGGGAAACGGGGCCGAGGACGGAAGATTTGGCTGATGGTTAACCATTTCAGCTTAGATTGAGAAAGAAACATATAAGTTAGGATTTTGAGGTAGAAGTCAAGAATTTTACCCAAGTGTTTTGTCATTTTTGTATCAAACCATATCTAACTGAACCACAACCATTTCAGCTAGTGACAGAAACCAAATGATATTTGTTGATCAGTGCAAGGTTTCTAAATTTGTTGTATGCTGATTGCCTTGTAAGTTCTTTGGGAGGCTACTGATTTGGATTCTTTTATTATTTTGATCATGTTCATTGCTCTAGCTAACGCTATTGCTCTTTCTGCCCTGATACATTTGAGATGGATGATGAGGTTCTTTAGCTGATGGTTGTAGTGAATATAGAGCAATTTTGAGATGACATACATTATTTGACAAGTCATGAGTTATTGGGTTGCTGAGTATTACTCTGTAATCTTGTGATACTACCTTTTGTTTTGTAACAGTGCACTAGTTTGACGAGGCTCGGTTTCCTGCTGACAGTCTCTTGACCTTTTATATTCCAGAGTATGGGTGTTACAAAGGAGCAGTTGCTTGCGCGCTTGAAGGTTTGATCCGTTTGATGTTTGTTGCTTTTGTGGATCTTCACAACTGTTCCCACAGTTTCTTCCTAGTGAGCTGTGTCTCGTTCAGTCAATTTTCTGCTAAAAGCAAAACTTAACCTGGGCTTTCTTCCTTCTATACGGCCAGTTAGACATTTCACTGTCCTTAAGGATTTATCGACTATTACCAGTTATTCTTGCTCAATGTAATATTCTCAATGACTTAAAAACGACCGACCTGTTTCTCTTGAACATCCAAATCCTCATTAAAGATATGACCAATTAAATTATGGATCTTCATCCGAATGGAAGGATTTTATTTGCTGGGCTGAGGCATGGTTGTGTCTATCTTTTCTATATCACCTTGTTTTATTCAGTGAAGAGTATGGCTGAAAATTTTCATTTTCATGGTGCTTTGCCCTGCGATGGTACTTCAGGAGCTCGGAATCAAATTTGAGCAGTACGAACATCCTGCTGTTTTAACTGTAGAAGCCCAGGTAAGGAAATTTATTGAAAGATTTGATCATTAACTTTGAATGTGTCATAGACCAATCTGTTGATCTAATGCTACACATTCATACACAGGAAAAATATGTGGGGGACAAAGGAGGTGGACTCAGAGAAAATTTATTCTTGAAGGTAATAAAAAAGTATTGTTAAGATTTCTTACATTACTTGCCTTAGCATTACTAGACCTTGTTAGAGTCACAGTTTGAAATGAAGATGATTACTTTTTTTTTGTAACAGGACAAGAAAAGTAGGTTCTACATTTTTTCAGCTCTTGCAGGTGCTAAAGTTGATATGATAGGTGAATTTTGTGACAATTCGCATTGATAGAAGTCATGTTATCATTCGTGGTAAGGTAATGATAGTTAATCACATGATCATACTCTTGAAGCGATGCAATTTTGTCTCAGAGGCTTGGTTTGGGGAAAGGGGGCATAAGAATGGCTCCGGACGACGCATTAGGACAGCTACTTCAGGTATACACTTCTTATAGTGCAATGTCTCATGCTTTTACGTTCCTTGTGTTTCTTTTGCAGAATACCCCCTAGAAAAAGCAATCGATGCAGATACCTGTGTTGATGTTGTTTTTTCGTTGAATATGTGTTGATGTTGTTGCCTCCTGTTGTTAGCTTAAATTTCGAAATGATTAATTTATCTGCTGGCTGATATCTTAAAATCATGTGGGACTTCCTTTTGGTCTCAACATGCTGAGTGATACTCTTTTGAACTTTTCTAAGTAAGATTTCGTATATAAATTCTACTATAAAAAAGTACTACGGGTCTTAAAGATGTATACGTTGGTTTTAGTTCTTAATTAATTCTAGTTACCTCTGAAATCTTCAACAGGATTTGATTGCAGAATGTGTTGTTTCATCAATGTAATTAAATTAATTGATTGTGAAATTACGCTATTTTTGCCTAACAACAGTTGACCTACTACTGATGGGGTAGTTGGTTTATTTGTTTGCTACAAACGAGTCCTGCACAAAGTTCAGTTCAAAGCAGTTAAATGACATAAATTTATGGTCCGATGGTCTTAACTATCATTCCATAATTATTTGTACAGGTTTCTCTGAGCTATGTCACTCCATTTGCACTTGTCAATGAGTCAACAAAGTATACCATTGTCCTTGATTTAGTTATTTGATGTGCTTGAACCATGAAATAGTTCGACTATTAAGTAAAACCTCATTTTTCATCTAACTGTTACGTTGCTACTCAATTCGTCCTTATATTTCGGAGGTCCAGGAAACCGGAAGAACTTTGCCCCTCTAAGCACATTTGCATTGTTCTATTTAATATGACGATGTCGTACAAGTGTGAGATAAAACAGAGTAGGAAAAATATTCCCGTTTGATAAATTGACCATTGTTCTATTTAATTATTGTACCTTGATTATGATAGGGGCGAAGTATAGAAAGCAAAGAGCACTTCCATTTTCACCTAAGTAACCATGTGGTTGCGAGTGAAAGTATTATAGGTGGTGAAATAATTTGAACATCTAATAATTAGGCTTTCTTTTTCGCAAAGGACATCTTACCATTAGTTGTGTTTGATGTATTGGGCGACAATTGTACTCAATGGAAATGATTAAGTATAACAAATGATGATTCATATCATATGTGATATATAAATCTCAGATTATGACGGTGTTAATTTGAGTATCAATACTGAACATGTGAGATGTATTAAGCACCAAAGTCATAGTATAGTATTCCTGGATGCTATGCACAGGCTAAAACTAGAATCCATTTATTCTTGAATGGCTAGGAACATCAATTCACTGACCTATTTGTGTCATTGCGCGTGAATGGCTACCATATTTGAACATTTACCATAATTCCCAGGGTATACCAGATACTATGTTCTTAAGTGTAGATTATAAACATTTGTTCATGGATGCTTTTTGTTGTTGTTTCTGTTTGGTTTACATCTGTGTTTTAAAGATACGTTTCACTCTTGTTGGACAAGGAATTCAAAAAATAAAACATTGCTTCTTACATCCTCTATCTAACAAAATATCAATATGTAAGTTTGAAAATTGAATTTGTTCATTTGGAGGATCAGTGTTTCATAATTCCCCTCTAATGTTAAAATGATGATGCATGTGGGATACAATCCAAAGGTTTTGTTTAATCATTGCATGTGTTGTTTCTCAGATATTCAAGCTCGTGATCTAGATAAATTTCTTAAATCAATTGGGAGAGAGCCCTCATATAGTTACCTTGAGGTAATGTGAACGAACTCTATTGTTATGATTATTTTTTTAAAATCTTTCATCAAGTGGATTTTCAGTCTTCTGGATTATGTATGTTGTTTTACTTCCAGGCTAACCCACCAGTAGGGAAAGACCAACCTCTGGATCTAGCTATTTTTGTACCATCTTGTACAATTGATGTACCAGATGCTCTTGAAAGCAGTACGCCATCACAATTTGTGAGTGAGAGTTCTCTTCCGATTCAAAAGAAGTCCACACCGGCCTCAGGTACTTGCATGTAGATCGGTTAGTTACAGACTTATCATGCCAACTATAGTTTGGTTCGTAGAAGATAATTTGAATTTGGGTGGTTTTACCTATTTGCATCTCAACACCAGTTTGAATAGGATTTGAATGTTGCACAATATGTTTACCAACTATTGTCATGTACTCTTTAACAGCTAGTTGCCACATCCTGTCTAAATGGTTGGAACATGTTTTCAGTGTTATATTTAGTGTTGTGGCCTTGGTCAGTAAGCTTGTGATTGGTTAAGAACCACAAAGTCGAATAATGGTTTGATACGCAGAAGCAGATTTCCCAGATCTACCTGTTGTTGGAGGTTTGGGATTTGTTTCGGAAGAGTGAACCTGATCCTGAAACACTTAATGTTTTTCGTTGCTGCGGAAACCTTGTATTTTAAGTAAGTGAACACCAATCTCCCATTTATTGAAATGGTCAATTGGTGAAATGGTCACCTGGAGCAAATAGTAGAAGTTGAAGTGTGAAAATTATTGAAGTATGTGAATAATTATGAAACGATTAGGTCTTCTTCTTTAGGGTAGATGAAATTATCAAAATACATGAGTGGTGTGTAGTGGCTACTAAAATGGTCACACATTTTTTTCGAGTTTGATAAAGGAGAGGATAAATTGGAAATGAAGAAAGGGTAAGCTAATTAATATTAACATATTAATATTAATTAATATATAAAAGTCAAGGTTTGGTGCTACTATTCATTAGTGGCTCTCACACTTCTCCTTGCAAGTGGGCAAGTTTCAAGTTTCATCTTTTATCCCACACTCCCATTCTACAACCCTTGTGTTCATTTATTGTCCATTGGGTCTATATCTATTGCCCATTAGGTTTCATCTATTGTTCATTGCGTTCCCTATCACAACAATTATCTATTAGGTTTTCGTCTATGATCTTTCGCTCAAATCATCGTTTTGGCCCACCAATTTGCAATCTATCTCGAAACACTATCAATGAAATCAAGTTGTCCTATTCCACCGTTTGTCAAGACCGCTACCGAAAATCCATACCAACATGCTCTGTGTTTCCGAGTTTTGTATCGAGACTGAGTTTTATATTCTTTAGTGTTTTCTTATTTCTCTTTTTCTTTTGGTTAAGCTTGACAATTGAACTCAAACTCATGGGTATCCAACTTGATTTGACCAGGTCAAAGCGACTTGAACCCTCGAAATACTTTCGGTGGAATCCTAGGTTGTACCCATCCACCATGTCCCAAGACCTCTATCGAAAATCCATACCAACATGCTCTCTGTTGTCGAGTTTTGTATCGGGACCGAGTTTTATATTCTTTAGTGTTTTCTTATTTCTCTTTTACTTTGGGTTAAGCATGACAATTGAACTCAAACTCATGGGTATCCACCTAATTTGACCAGGCCAAATCGACTTGAACCCGAATTTAGTAATTTAAAATTTTTATTTTGTTTTTGTTGAGAATGCCAATTGAACCCAAACCCATGGTATTGACGAGTTTTTATTGAGAGCGAGTTTTATCTGCTTTTGTAGTTAGCATGTTGGGTCGACTGTGAATTTGTTAAAAACTCGATTCAACTCAGTCAAATCGAGCTAAACACGGTGTTGACGAGTTTTGGATCGAGAGAGAGATTTTTTTGTTTAATGTTATTTTATTTTTTCGTTTCCTTTACGTTGAGAATGGAAATCGATGCAAGACTCGGTGCTGATGAGTTTTGTATTGAGAGGGAATTTTATCTGCTTTTAAAATTGACATATTGAGCCGTCTGTGAATTGTTAAAAACTCGGTTCAAACCATTGAGTTTAATTTGGTGTGTAGATTTTTAGGTGGGGAACGAGTTTTATCTGTTTTAGTGTTTTTTATTTATCTTTTTCCTTTCGGTTGAGAACCCGAACCTATGGGTATCCAACCTAATTTGACTTGAACCCGATGTTTACAAGCTTTCAGGAAGGAGTGAGTTTTATTCGCTTTTGTAATTGGCGGGTCGAGTCGGTTGTGAATTTGTTACATAGTCGGTTCAACCAGATCAAAGAGAGTTGAACATGATGTTGTCGAGTTTTGGGCGTGAGCGAGTTTTACCCACTTTAGTGTTTGTTAATTTCTCGGGCTGGCGTGAGTTTTATACGGTTTTTTAATTGTCTGATCGGGTCGGTTGTGAATTTTTTACAAACTCGGTTCAACCCGATCAAAGAGAGTTGAACATGATGTTGCCGAGTTTTGAGTCATGAGCGAGTTTTATCTGCTTTAGTGTTTAATTTGTTAATTTTTCTTTTTCTTTTTGGTTGAGAATGAACTTGAAAAAAAACATAAGCAAAAAGAATGCAAAATGATCAATAGTGTTACGAGAGAAGATTTAACATAGAAATAATTTGCTCGATGACCCTTCTCGCTTACTAAAGTTTATCGCTGCGTCGATTACATGAAATTATTGATGACAAGCCCTTTAATTTTGGGTCAAAATTCAAACTATTAATCTTCGAAATATCATATTCTCGCTCACACGTGAAGCGACAACGAGCGGACTTATGCTGGTAATATATCATTTTAAACATCGATTCTGGATGTAGAAATTGGAGGTATGTGTTGATCGAAAAGATAGTTATTTATTTAATCAACTAAAACCCACGTACTATTGGTTGAGATTGAGAATAATGGAGGTCTTCTCCAGAGTTTTCTAGTACCTGCAATGATGGCTGACTTTATTGCAGAAAAGTCTTCAATCCTACTAAGTCAACCAGAACATATAAGTAATTAGTACAAAACCACACAGTGAAAATAACAAATCACTTCAATAAATCCTAAATTTTATGTTCATCGGCTGAAGATATGTGACACACTGCGCACTATATGCTTGTTTAGGCTTCTACATCTGAGAGGCAAATTGAGCTATTGCAAGTGATTGATAGGGTTACTCCTTTCTGTTATGTACCAAGTCCAGTGGTTGTTTATTTTATGCATAGCAGGTCATCTATAATTGGCATTGACATATTATGTCGTTCACTTCCTCTGATGTAGTGAAATCTGCTAAGCCAAACAGCGGGGATCAAAATGCAAAAGACAAGCCAAACAACACAGAGTCCCAACCAAATGCTTTTGCAGAATCCAGACTATTTGTGGACGAGATTCTCAAGAAGACAACAAAATTGCTGCTTTCCAAGATAAGCACGGTATCTATTTTTGCTCCACTTTCTCTCCTATGTTCAAGGTCATTGCTTGGCTTCTTCCATTGCACCTAAAATGGGGATATATTCTCGGATGAAATCCCAAAATACACATGCTTTTTTTAAAAAATTCCCAAAATACACACGTTATAAAAAAAATTTCCAAAATACACATGTTTGGGCATCACCGCTGTTGTCAACCGCAGTAAATGCATTCACCGCGGCAGACCAAAGCGGTGAATGCATCACCCCGGTTGATGGCCGTGGTGAATGCCTGACCTAACACTGAAACTTCAAACAAACGTAACTTTGCGCTCGGTTATCCGATTGTAGTGAATTTTTTTTATTCCATATAACTTTTCAAGATCTTTCAATCAGCAACAAGACTTCATCTAAAAAAAATGTCATTTGTTACCCCGAACGAGCAATTTTTCGATTTTGCCAAACTTTGGAAGGACATAACTTTTAGCTCCTCAATCCGAACGTCGTAAAGTTTTTTTTGATTGCGCATAACTTTTTAAGAAATACAACTTTTACTAGGAAATAATTTTTTTAAAAAGAAATATTTTTGGGTATACGGGATTTTGGGAATAACTTTGCCTAACTTTTCACAAATCCACATACTTTCAAAAATTATGGTTACTAGCACTTGGCCCGGCCTTTGGCCGGGAGAGTTTAGTCGGAACATTTTCGTTGTTTTAGATATGATATTATATTATTCAATGTGTGTTTGTACAATAGTTATGCATGAAACATTTTAGAAAATTGTTATACTATCCATAATGGGATATAATCTTATATAAAGAGGAAAAATGACACAGATAAGAAATAAAATAAAATTAAGAGTTTTTGGCACTTTGAAACTAATGCAGGATATTTAAGTATAAGTAAATCATATAGTTGGAGATTGGAGTTGCTTCCCACGATTTATACGTAAGCTTTAGGATGAAAGAAAATTATTGGTTTCTAGTGCAGTTCAGTATGTCATGTGTTTTCTCCAATAGATCTCATCCTTGTTGATTACAACACGTGTGATGAATTGCAACCCATAATTGTTAGCAATAGTTAGTTGAATAATGTATTGTTTTCGAGTCATTGACCAGATGAACATCAAATCACAAATATGACCACAAACAGTGTAGAAATTACCATGCAACAATGTATAATTCATGAGATAACACATATAAAAATGGACACGTGGAAAAAAAGTGCATAGAAGATAGGGCGCTTAAAATGATGGAGATTTTATAACCTCTTACCTTATTGGAAGTAGATAATCGAAATGAATTCATTTCTTCAATTGTACAAATTATCGCATGCAACTTCATAGGATTTCTTTTTAATTTTGATTTTCACTGCCCTAGTATGAAAAAAAACAGTGGTATATATAGGTGGTTATTTCGGCGCACTCAATTTTTTGGGTACATTCAATGCACCCAACTCTAAATGTGGTTATATAGTACATAAAATTTTGAAACTTTATTTGGTAGCATTAATCTAATATGATGATATTAACATAGAATCAAAACTAATCAATCCATTATCCTAACACCTTAACCTTCAATTTTGAATCTCAACCCAAAACCCCAAATTGTAAACCTAAACCCTAACCCTAAATCCCTAAATCCTAAATCCTTAAAATTAAAGTAACTCTTGAATGATTTTTTTTTTTGAAAATTCATGTGTTTCTTGTTCATAATATCATAAGCAACGATCAATACAGTTTTGATATGAATCACATGCTCGAAATAACGATTATGAGGAGAGTGCATTGAATGCACAAAAAAAAAAGTGGGTGCGCCGAAGACGCCACTATATATATATATATATTTTTTATATATATATGGCCAGTTCTATCGTACCCCGGGTAAATTCCGGGGTATGGCGTACCTTGATGATCTTAACCGTACGTGTGATCTCGACGGCTGAGATTAAATTTTATTAAATGATTTGTTTTTTCGGAATTTATATTAAATAAAATTACAGATCAACTCATATAATTAGTTTTTCTTTCATTTTAGTCCTCTATGTCCGTCGGTTGGTTAGTTTGATTTGGGTTGGGTTTTTTCAATATTTTGATTGAACCCAAATTCAACCACCCCAAAACATAAAGGGTACCTACCCCATCCAACCTACCACCACTTCGTTCCCCCCATCCCGACCCTCTCTTCTCCGCTGCTACACGCCGATACCTTAATGCCCTATCCTCTTCCCCTGTTCCTCCGTCCTCCGCCGCTAGACGCCGCTAGCCCTCTCCCTACCCTTTCTAATCTCCCTTGTCGGCCCCAAATTCATCGCTCACCAACAACTTAGATTCTCCTTGCGGAAGGGATTTCGAATCCTTGCAACCAGAAGAAGAAGGAAGGGTTCTCCTCTGCTTGATTTTTCTGGCGATTGGCGTTATGGCTTCTCGAACGAGTTGCAGAGACCTTCGTCGAAAGAAAAAGGGGTGACCTCCCCACCGGAGAGTCCTCCCACGATGATACAAATGGTCTTTGATGACTCCGACGCCATTAGCCTCGCTTCCAAGTTCCGTCACTAACAGATCAACGGCGGCGCCTCAATGTTCTATAATTGATGATGTCAAACCTTCCTGGGTCAAGTTCTGCGAATTTTGTTTATCGCACATATTTGTGTTAAAACTAGATATGCCATACCCTCAAAATCAATAATAGGACTATGTTGTATCAGTATGCTATTATGGAAATTTTGGGGATTTATGTGGAGCAGAAAACTGAAGTTTGAATTTGAAAAAAAAAAGAACTGAAATTTGAATTACGCCGAGGAAGAAGACGATCGAAGTGAAGCTTCTGATCGTTTCTCAACCACTCACGAGATGGAATGTGGGCTAACATCATCACACTTATAGTTTCCATAAACTTAGCATACAAAACAAGAAACGTTGGCAAACTTAGTGGTTAAGCTAGTAGTTTACTATTAAGTTTGTTAGAATAGGTGTAGGGTTCGAATACTAGTTTCAACCATTATATTTAGTTTTTTTATAATTTCATTTGAAATCACTTGTTCATAGTTGATTACCCTCTCCTTGCTAGTCAAGTTTTTGGAAAAAATTTCATTTTTCTATTTAGAATTTTATTTTACAACTATTCATAAATAGTAATTCTACACAACATGTCATTTTTGTCACACACCACCGTTGTGCCCACCTCCACCTTGCAACTTTGCGTTAACCCAAAACTAGTACAAAGGACTAGTACATCCCAAAACAAACCTTTGCTAAACCATGTGAAAGGGCATTTGTAGTGCAGTCTAATGACTAAGTTTGAAATTCTGCCTTGACAAACTTATAAACGTGAAAGCTCCATGTTCCGAATGGTTCAATATTCTGCCTTGACACTGATGCGTGTAAAATGGATTGGTTGTTATTATAAAAGAGATGCAGTGTTGCTTTAAAAAAATTTGTAGCGTAAACGATTTCATATACTAAGACGCATGTAACATAGTATATAACATTATAGTTGAAAAGTGAGACTTGACATCGATAGAAGTTTTACATTGATAGAAGTTTGTCGGTTGAGGTAGAATGTCTTGTTCCTTATAAATATATTTATATCAGGCACTTTCATGACATCGATACCTATGGCCAAGTCACGATGAGGTTATGATAGATTAAGGAAGATCTTATGAGATTTTTGTCGGAGATGATCCTATCACGTTAGGGGTGGGCATCCGGTTCGGTAAACCCGAACCGACCCTAACCGAAACCGAGGTTGACCGAACCGAAACCGAAATATTGCTGTTCGGTTCGAAATTCGGAAGAGGAAACTGGTTACTTCGGAAACCAGGAGGCTCTCAACCGAAACCGGAATTCCGAATTCCGAACCGAAAACCGAAATATAGCCCACAGCCTACTAAAACCCACCCACAACCACTCTCCAGCCCATTGAAACCCAGCCCACACTGAAACCCAGCCCACTGAAACTCTCTAGCCCATAGCCAACCCCATCCTCTCCAAACCCTAACCTCACATCACAGCATTCGCCACCAATCCTCTCAAAATAGCAGCCGCCACCGCCTAGCTCTAGCCGTCCGCCATCAGATCGGCCATCGCACCGCCATCTTCTCCTTCATGCAGACACCACGACGGAAGAGGAGAAGAGCTCCCTGACATGCAAAGCTATTCCACACCTGATTCGACCTGGACGCAGAGCAAAGAACTGTTAGTAGAGGCGGAGAGGAAGGTCGAAAATCGAGGGAGAGAACGGAGAGGGAAGAGGCGGAGAGAGGGATTCGAACGTCTTCTGTGGATTCTTCAGAGAGAGCGAGAAGTAGAGACGAGGGAGATAGTGTCGGTGGCGGGAGACAGGCGGAGAGAGGGGTAGATGCGGAGAGGGAAGTCGTTTCTCCATAGATGGCGTTGACCCACCAGGATAAAATGAGAATAACAGATTTGAGGGAGAGGAGATAGAGCGGTGATATCATACTATGTGAGGGGCAATGGGATTTGGATTGAAATGGGAAGCTTGTTTGCTGGGCGAGAGAGTGAGAGAGAAAAGTAAAGAAGAAGAATATTGGGGAAGGTTGTGTTGGTGGGGTGAGCCGAGAGAGAGGGAGAGGATAAAGAATAAAAGAATCCCCTCTCATCTGGCCCAGCGACCAAAAGACAGAACAAAAGCCAAAAAATGGACAGAGCATACTTTTTCTCAGTTTTGAGTATAAAACCGAACCGAACCGAGCCGAACCGAATTATAGCTCGGTTCGAATTCGGTTGAGGGGTTTTGTAGTTCGGAAAATCGGGATATACCATTTCGGTTCGGTTCAAACCGAACCGACCGAACGCCCACCCCTATATCACGTGGAACAATTGTTCTTTGTCATTCTAGATGATTAGTGAAATTCGCTAGACAGCTAAAGTACCATAGGTTGTTTTGAGATCCTAATTATTAGTTCACTATCGATTCGGATTATTTGTTGTCTAAATAATCCGATCGATTGATTAAAAAGGCCTCGTATTTTTTGGCCATTAAAAAGGCCTCATGTGAATTCGAACATGCCTTTTGTACCAGGCCCAATAAGGCCCTTAGCAATAGCAGATCGGCGGCACAAACGCCTTTTCGCATTATTTGTATTCTCCCAAGTCCCAACACAGATCAATTATGGCAAAGTTGAACAACTGAAAGACTAGCCTACAAAATCAAGCAATCGATCCATATCCCTGCTTTTTCTTCCCCCCATGCGCAGGCTTCTCTGTTTTCCTTGAGAAAGAAAACTTAACCGCCCTCCTCCTTCCTTCGCTTCCGCCTCCCTTGCATGCAAGCCTCCCCCTCCGCCTCCGCCTCCGCCAGTCAATCCACCGCTGGTCGGCGGTCGCTCAATACCAGTCTCCACCTCCGAGCCACCATCGTCGCCTGCCACCGCCGCCGCTGATTCGCTCGAGGGGTTGTGGGAAGAAGAGCGGCAGAAAGTTCCCAGGACGAAAGGCAGGAGAAAGTTAGGGAGAGAGCAGCAAGGGTAGGGTTGTCGTCTGTTGACAGAAGAGCAGGCGAAGGAAAATCCTGTGGAAAAAAGGAATTCCAATCGGCGTCTTCCTTCCTTCCCGGACTAACAACGAGTTGCCGCTAGGGATGGCAATGGGGCGGGTTTGGGGCGGGTTTGCCTAAACCATCCCCATCCCCATCTTCAAATACCCAAACCCATACCCGCCCCATACTCATGCGAGGGAATGTTTTGCAAACCCATCCCCATACCCGTGGGTTTCGGGTACCCATGGGTAATACCCATCTCCGTACATCCAACATTATTATACCTAAAACTTACAAGAAAAGTTTTAATTATAACCATAAACAAACCTATTATATCACGAAGTCAACAAAACACGGTCATTTTCTAAATACGATTCAAAGAATATGATCCTAAAACATCCATTAATACATAATATAGACTATAATATTTTTTAAATTATTATGCTCTAACTCTTGATACATTTACTAAGTAATAATTAACTAACATAATTTTGTTGACAAGGGGGAAAGTGAAAGAGTGGAAGGAGAATTGAGGGAAATGAATTAGGTTTTGATTAAGGTGGTTATTCAATTGCATTTCTACTATTTATTTTCTCGAGTTATCATCATCATCATTGATAGATTACAATTTAATCCACGTATTTTTTGATATGTGAAGAAATTCTCTTGGTGGGGCGGGTATGGGTATGGGGCGGGGGAGGCTAAAACCATACCCGCCCCATACCCATCAAACCTTTTGCGGGTTTTACCCATACCCGCCCCATACCCGGTCAAAGCGGGGATTCCCCGCGTTGACTGGGTATGGGGCGGTCGGATACCCGCGGCCATGGGTTTGATTGCCATCCCTAGTTGCCGCCGACCACGTTTCAACCGCCGCAGGTACATTTTTGTAAATGCTTTTTAACTATTTGGTACGGTGGATTAGAGTATCTGACGTAGTGTGTTGTTATACTCGTAAGTGTAATTTTCTTACAATGGATCGTGTATCTCAATGGCAGCCGCAGTTCTCCTGGGACAAAGCGTTTGTTCTTACTCGAGGGGATTGTAACGATAATGCTTAGGCGATACAGACGACCAACTTTAATCCTCGCCATCACGTCATCAATGTCCTTTTCATATGCCAGAGCTTCAATAACTCGTTTCTGCGGGATTAGCAGGTGTAAAAGAATGTTATAGATAAGCATCTGGTGTTTTTTTGCTGGGAAATCGTAAACAAACCTTTTTGTCCATCCAGAGCATGCGCAATGCTGGCGTTTTCCAAACCTCTCTGTCCACGTTTTTAGAAGCCGAGCTATCACAGTACGGTTGTTGGTTCCCAACCGCAAACCTCGAAACGTCATCGAAGCACAAATGGGGTCTACAATAGAGACAAGAAACACACTAAGTGGAGTCACCATTTATTGTAAGGTTTTGCGAATCAATCGAATCCAGTACCAATTTAGACCTACAGAAACACAAACATCGAACCTTGGGGATCGGTGGGGTCCTCGTAATCCCGCGAGGCGACTGGGTTGTCTCGGCGGAAAACTGCCATAGTTCGTTGGTCCGCTGCGATCATAGTAATCTTTATTAGAGGAATATGATGTTTTCTACTGAGTGGCATGCTTAGGACCAGATAGTGACATACCTCGGCGCTAGGGTTTTCACCGTGGTCGAAAGGGGCAGTTTTTACCGCCGATGCCAGCGAAGATCTGGAACGAGGTCTGTGTTGTCGAGGGAGGCAAGAGCAGGGCTTAAGTAAATTGGCTAATTTCTTTGGAGTGACATGATAATACACCATCTACTTGTCAATTTTCCGGTTTATTAATTTCTGTTTACTTTTCAATTGACATCGATAGCCAAAAGTAACCGGCAAACCTTCACGTACCTACTAATGTACTACGCGAAGTACATACTTACAAGCAAAAACCCTAAACCCTGAACCCTAAACCCTGGACCCTAAAACCGTGAACCCTAAACCCTGAACCCTGAACCCTAAACCCTAAACCCTAAACCCTAAACCCTAAACCTTGAACCCTGAACCATAGACTTTGAAACCTTAAACCCTAGACCCTAAAACCCTGAACCCTAAACCCTGAACCCTGAACCCTAAACCCTAACCCTAAACCTTGAACCCTGAACCATAGACTCTGAAACCTTAAACCCTAGACCCTAAAACCCTAAACCCTAAACCCTGAACCATGAACCCTGAACCCTAAACCTTAAACCCTGAACCCTGAACCCTAGACCCTGAAACCTGAACCCTGAACCCTAAACCCTAAAATCCTAAACCCTGAACCCTGGACCCTGAACTCTAAACCCTGAACCCTAAACCCTAAATCATGTTTGCCTTTTTACCTCTAGAGTGAACTTCTTGTTGTTATCCAACTCCACCAAGCAAATGACCCCTTAGTCATGACTAATTAGGATGAAATGAGTTGTTTGCTAGCTCGAGCCAGAATTTTGATCGAAATTATGAGCCCAAACTCAATAAATGAGTTGTGTCGTGTTCGGATCGTATTAGCTCATTCATAAAAGAGCCGAGAGTGAGTTCGGCTTGGCTCATTAAAATGGACCATGTTTCTTTGGAGTGACATGATAATACACCATCAACTTGTCAATTTTCCGGTTTATTAATTTTTGTTTACTTTCACTTGACTTCTATAGCCAAAAGTAACCGGCAAACCTTCAATTTTCACTTGACTTCAATTTTCCTGGTCTAGGTCTCTAAGTGGAGTTGCGGGTGACGATGGTATTCCAGGCTTTTCCCGGCGGCAGTTGCGGCATGGCAAGGTTGCAATGGCAGCTAGGGTTTAGATTTGTCTACTTTGGGCTCTCTGTGTTATGTGTGGCACTTGGGCTTTTCGGGTGGGCTTTTGAATTGCTTATCTGTATTGTAACAATTTGTAAGAGCCGGACCGGACCGGTGAACCGGACCGGGAAAACCGCCAACCGCCAACAAAAGCGGTCCGGTCTCTGTACTTAAGCGGCCTTTGCTGGGCCGAACGCTTTTTAGCGATCCCATAGTGAAACCGCAGAACCGGGACGCCCTATTGGTCCAACAGTCTGCTACTAATAAAAGAAAATCATAGTACTATTATTATTGAAGCCAACGCCGACCTACACAAACAAGCAACCCTAATAAAGTTAGCTCTGACGCTGCAGTTGCTTTCCTGACTCCTACTACTCTTCAACTTTTCTTTGCGTGTGTGGTATGGGTTCTTCCTGAAACTGATTTCGTAAAAAAAAAAAAAAGAAAAAAAACAATCTTCCACCTGTCTCCAATCGATGGTGTCTCTCTACTTTGCATGTCTCTACTCGTCGGTGTTATCACGGAACCGCCATCGTCACTCTCTCTCTCTCTCTCTCTCTCTGATTGATGACATGCAATAATTCAGGTACTATTCAGTTGATGGGGTATCCCACTTGAGCAGATTGGATGTGTCTCAATAAAGTAGCGAGGGAACCAAGGTAGTTTATCGGGACTGCCATTCCCATTCCTGAGAAGTTTAGCAGAACAGTTTTTTTTTTGGAGAAACCGCAGAACAGTCTTTTCCCATTCCCTCCATTCCCTTTCTCTTTGGGGTATAAATGAACAGAGTCTTTTCCCATTCCCTTTCTCAAAATCACCCCGCTTCCATCCGTGTCTTCACCTGCAATTCTGCAAGAAACCCTCGATGTCGAACCCATCTTCTTCGTGGATCGCCCAATTCAATCCGGGCGACCGGGTCGAGATCAGCCCCCACGACCCCGGGTTCCGCGACTCCTGGTACGCCGGCACCGTCGTCCGCCGCGAGGCGAAGAACACCAATCGTTACGTAGTCGAGTACGACCAGCTCTACTCGGACGAATCTGGGGAGAAGCTGCTGCAAGAAACCCTCGATTGGATCCAATTGCGTCCGCCGCCGCCGCTTCCCGAGAAGAAGAAGGTCGAGTTCAAGTTCGAAGACGAAGTGGAGGCCTTCTATAGCGACGACTGTTGGGAAGGGGCTATTATTGCGGAGCACTCCGGCGGGAAATTCGCGGTGTTCCTCAGTTCTCCTGGGACAATGCGTTTGCTCTTACTCGAGGGGATTGTAACGATAATGCTTAGGCGATACAGACGACCAACTTTAATCCTCGCCATCACGTCGTCAATGTCCTTTTCATATGCCAGAGCTTCAATAACTCGTTTCTGCGGGATTAGCAGGTGTAAAAGAATGTTATAGATAAGCAGCTGGTGTTATTTTGCTGGGAAATCGTAAACAAACCTTTTTGTCCATCCAGAGCATGCGCAATGCTGGCGTTTTCCAAACCTCTCCGTCAATGACTTCTGTCCATGTTTTTAGAAGCCGAGCTATCACAGTACGGTTGTTGGTTCCCAACCGCAAACCTCGAAACGTCATCGAAGCACAAATGGGGTCTACAATAGAGACAAGAAACACACTAAGTGGAGTCACCATTTATTGTAAGGTTTTGCGAATCAATCGAATCCAGTACCAATTTAGACCTACAGAAACACAAACATCGAACCTTGGGGATCGGTGGGGTCCTCGTAATCCCGCGAGGCGACTGGGTTGTCTCGGCGGAAAACTGCCATAGTTCGTTGGTCCGCTGCGATCATAGTAATCTTTATTAGAGGAATATGATGTTTTCTACTGAGTGGCATGCTTAGGACCAGATAGTGACTTACCTCGGCGCTAGGGTTTTCACCGTGGTCGAAAGGGGCAGTTTTTACCGCCGATGCCAGCGAAGATCTGGAACGAGGTCTGTGTTGTCGAGGGAGGCAAGAGCAGGGCTTAAGTAAATTGGCTAATTTCTTTGGAGTGACATGATAATACACCATCTACTTGTCAATTTTCCGGTTTATTAATTTCTATTTACTTTTCAATTGACATCGATAGCCAAAAGTAACCGGCAAACCTTCACGTACCTACTAATGTACTACGCGAAGTACATACTTACAAGCAAAAACACTAAACCCTGGACCCTAAAACCCTAAAACCCTGAACCCTAAACCCTGAACCCTAAACCCTAAACCCTAAACCCTAAACCTTGAACCCTGAACCATAGACTCTGAAACCTTAAACCCTAGACCCTAAAACCATGAACCCTAAACCCTAAACCCTAAACCTTGAACCCTGAACCATAGACTCTGAAACCTTAAACCCTAGACCCTAAAACCCTAAACCCTAAACCCTGAACCATGAACCCTGAACCCTAAACCTTAAACCCTGAACCCTAGACCCTGAAACCTGAACCCTGAACCCTAAACCCTAAAATCCTAAACCCTAAACCCTTAACCCTAGACCCTGAACCCTGGACCCTGAACTCTAAACCCTGAACCCTAAACCCTAAATCATGTTTGCCTTTTTACCTCTAGAGTGAACTTCTTGTTGTTATCCAACTCCACCAAGCAAACGACCCCTTAGTAATGACTAATTAGGATGAAATGAGTTGTTTGCTAGCTCGAGCCAGAATTTTGATCGAAACTATGAGCCCAAACTCAATAAATGAGTTGTGTCGTGTTCGGATCGTATTAGCTCGTTCATAAAAGAGCCGAGAGTGAGTTCGGCTTGGCTCATTAAAATGGACCATGTTTCTTTGGAGTGACATGATAATACACCATCAACTTGTCAATTTTCCGGTTTATTAATTTTTGTTTACTTTTCACTTGACTTCTATAGCCAAAAGTAACCAGCAAACCTTCAATTTTCACTTGACTTCAATTTTCCTGGTCTAGGTCTCTGAGTGGAGTTGCGGGTGACGATGGTATTCCAGGCTTTTCCCGGCGGCAGCGGCGGCATGGCAAGGTTGCAATGGCAGCTAGGGTTTAGATTTGTCTACTTTGGGCTCTCTGTGTTATGTGTGGCACTTGGGCTTTTCGGGTGGGCTTTTGAATTGCTTATATGTATTGTAACAATTTGTAAGAGCCGGACCGGACCGGGAAAACCGCCAACCGCCAACAAAAGCGGTCCGGTCTCTGTACTTAAGCGGCCTTTGCTGGGCCGAACGCTTTTTAGCGATCCCATAGTGAAACCGCAGAACCGGGACGCCCTATTGGTCCAACGGTCTGCTACTAATAAAAGAAAATCATAGTACTACTATTATTGAAGCCAACGCCGACCTACACAAACAAGCAACCCTAATAAATTTAGCTCTGACGCTGCAGTTGCTTTCCTGACTCCTACTGCTCTTCAACTTTTCTTTGCGTGTGTGGTATGGGTTCTTCCTGAAACTGATTTCGTCAACAAAAAAAAAAAAAACAATCTTCCACCTGTCTCCAATCGATGGTGTCTCTCTACTTTGCATGTCTCTACTCGTCGGTGTTAACACGGAACCGCCATCGCCTCTCTCTCTCTCTCTCTCTCTCTCTGATTGATGACATGCAATGATTCAGGTACTATTCAGTTGATGGGGTATCCCACTTGAGCAGATTGGATGTGTCTCAATAAAGTAGCGAGGGAACCAAGGTAGTTTATCGGGACTGCCATTCCCATTCCTGAGAAGTTTAGCAGAACAGTTTTTTTTTTGGAGAAACCGCAGAACAGTCTTTTCCCATTCCCTCCATTCCCTTTCTCTTTGGGGTATAAATGAACAGAGTCTTTTCCCATTCCCTTTCTCAAAATCACCCCGCTTCCATCCGTGTCTTCACCTGCAATTCTGCAAGAAACTCTCGATGTCGAACCCATCTTCTTCGTGGATCGCCCAATTCAATCCGGGCGACCGGGTCGAGATCAGCCCCCACGACCCCGGGTTCCGCGGCTCCTGGTACGCCGGCATCGTCGTCCGCCGCGAGGCGAAGAACACCAATCGTTACGTAGTCGAGTACGACCAGCTCTACGCGGACGAATCTGGGGAGAAGCTGCTGCAAGAAACCCTCGATTGGATCCAATTGCGTCCGCCGCCGCCGCCTCCCGAGAAGAAGAAGGTCCAGTTCAAGTTCGAAGACGAAGTGGAGGCCTTCTACAGCGACGGCTGTTGGGAAGGGGCTATTATTGCGGAGCACTCCGGCGGGAAATTCGCGGTGTTCCTCAGAGGCTTTGAGGAGCAGATTGTGTTTGAAGAGAAAGATTTGAGGTTGCCTTTTCAGTGGGTTAAAGGGAAGTGGGAGCCGCGATTCGAACAGGTTCAGCGGGAGAAAGAGGTGAGCTAATTCGATTTTATGACTTTTCCTGCTCCGTTGCTTGGTATAACAATTTTAGGGAATTTTGAATCTCGATCTAGTTAGGTTGAGGAAAGTAGAGAATTGGGTGATCAGAGATGGCATTTGTTCTTTTTCACAATGTCTCAACCTCGTTGAATCGCTTCATAAACATGCAGATGTGGGTAAACTCAAATTGTTCCAAGGAAGTGATGAAGTTCACTCAAGGAATGCAAGTCGAGGTGCTAACTGACGAAGACGATTTGAAAGGTGCTTGGTTTGTTGCAACAATTATTGAACCTTCGGGTGAAGACAAGTACCTTATTGAGTACAAAACCCTGAGGAATGATGATGATACTGAGTTTCTCAGAGAAGACATTCGTGCTTGCAACATAAGGCCTTGTCCGCCGGAGATCATTGTTGTGGATGGATTCAAGGTGTTGGATGAAGTAGATGCTTACTACAACGAGGGCTGGTGGGTTGGCGTGATTGGAAAGGTCTTGATCAACTCCAATTACGTGGTTAACTTTATAGAGTATGATGAGAAGATAACGTTCAATCAGGCTGATTTGAGGCCACATCAGGACTAGTTAAACGGCAAATGGGTTGTTCCTTCAGATGTCTGAATTTTATGCTCTCAATTCTAAAAACACTACTAGCCTTTGTTCTTGCATGTGGTCTTTCTCTTTCGGTGGTGTCTGTTACCGTTGTGCATCTGATGGTGGGGGTCGGTGGTGGGGTTTGGTTGTGTTTTTTTTTTCCTTGCTTCTTTTTTTTTTGGGTCTGTTGTTTTTGGTGGCTCCAGGTTCTCTTAGACTAGCCTACAATCCTTCCTGGATTTCGGTCCAAACTCTCTATCACATTCCTATTTTGTAATGAAATCTGTCCGCCACAACTACTTATTTTATTCTTCTTTGATAAACTCATAATTGCAATCATGTGGACCTTAAATTTGGAGGCTGATTTGGGCTATAATAAGGATTAAGCCCAACGAAGCAAATTAATGGATAATCTCCAACTTAATGCTAACAAATTAATGACTAATCTTCCAAAAAAATTTGATAGACCCCGTATTAAACCGACATCTTTTAATTAAATACTTTAACCAAAAATAGTTTACCGATCAAGAACACAAAGTTACCATGCCCTCTATTCCCTCACCACACGTTGGAGAGACAAGCAAAGGTATAATTGTCGTTTCAAGTAATTAATCATTTGCTAGTGGTTTGTATTATTTGTTTCTTTTACATACCACCCAAGAGATCCAAGTGCACTCCCATGGCAAACCCACGTGGAAAGTAATGAGGCAACTATGTATTTCCACCCCATTTTTCCTCTCATGGTCGGGTATAGACCAAACTAGTAACAAGCTGAGTCACCCTAGTTGACCACCCATGGAGAGTTTATCCAATGACATGCACGTAGCAAAGGAAGTGATGGTTGACTTACATTTAGTTTCTTTGCTTGACAAACATAAATAAGGCCCTCCAATCTTTCCCTGTAGACACGTTGACATGAGGTGGACGATTACAATCAAAATGAGTTTCTTCAGAAACTCAAACTAGATGAGCAACCACATGAGCTTGGGACCACAACAAAGCATACAAATCCTCCTTCAACATATCCGAACAAACTAGAGAATCCTGTCGCATCGTATGTGTCTGACGCATACGAGTCGTTTCCAAGAGTGAACTTCTTGTTGTTATCCTACTCCACCAAGCAAACGACCCCTTAGTAATGACTAATTAGGATGAAATGAGTTGTTTGCTAGCTCGAGCCAAAATTTTGACCATGTGAATTTAAATAATGTAAGGGCCGGCCCATTGGCCATGTAGTTGTTATAAATTTGGGCTGTAAATAGAGGCCCATAAGTCCATCCTTAAAAAAGTAAAAATCTCTATATTGGATTGCAAGGGAAAGCCCCATTTAGTCACGTTTGGATCAATGCTTATCACGTCACATCTACTATGAGTAATTTGTTCAAAGTAACATAACTAAATTAAATTCATATGTTACATCAAGTACCATCTCAAAAGGATAATAAAGTTACAAAAGATATTAGCGTTCACATATCCATTACGCTAATAGATCATTAGAAATTACAGAAAGGTGGAGCATTACTAACATTAATCCTATCATATTAATAATACCCAATGCTACTTAGTTATCTAAAGCCGGGAACAACTTAACCAAAAAAAGATCAGAAAAATGCTCCACGTCGTTCCAAGGACCGAATGTAACCAAGACTTTATATGCCTTCTCACCAATCATATTCAGTAGTGTAACATACTCCGCATTTTCAATCTCAGAAGGACTGGCAACAGAAGACATTATTCTTCGTAAGTAAGCTGATGGGAACACGACCTCAACATCAGACAAGTCATCTTCAATGGTCAAGTGAAGAAAATATATGTTCGATGCCTCAGACCAAGATCTCCTCAACTCTGTTACAATGCCTGACAAAATGAACGACTTCCCCTGAAATAATCCAAAACATAAAGAGGCAAAAATAATACGAAATCATATGCAAATTATTGAGATAAGAGATAGATATGGATAGATAAAACAACATGTTATCTTAGTCACCTGATTACCATCATTCATTTGCATTGGGATAAGGTCTATAGTATCCACGGTGTCCCAAATTGCTGCGGCAGTTTGATAGTTTAGATTCATAACGAAATTGTCTCCCATGGTAAAAGACCTATAATTTAGATTTTTAGCAATATTAGCAACTATATCGACAAAGGTTAGAGTTCTTACACTAATCAACTAATCATGTAAAACAGAATATAAACAAACTATAGGAAAGCAAGACATGACTCTGTCAATCCTTTAATGGATTTTTCAATTGGACCTATATTTTACTTCTTTTGACTTATTCTTTGTTGATTCTTACATGGAATTTTTCAACTGAACTCTACTACGTTTTATACAAACAATATATAATGTTTTGTTTCTATACAACACACACTACGTAATCAGATCCAAGTTAAATAATTTTGAAATATATATCCTCAACTATGGATCAATGCTATGCTAAAATCGAAGCAATAACTATTAATCATGTCTCTAAATTGAATAGGCAAACTACATTGTATTAGAAAGCATGCATTCTAACTCACCGGTGGAGCTCGCAAGTATTTTCTGGGAGTCTCTTCCTCAAAAACTTTCTGAATGCTAAGATTTTAGTAGATCGGGAGAAAGCAAAGTTGAAGGATAGCCGGCGACTGTACTTTATGAGTGTGCTGGAAAAAATTGTCGACGCTGTTGATGAGAGGAAAGAACAGATTTTTATATGGTAGGGTTTTAGAAATTACCTCCTGGAGATGGCGAAATGGGTTCAATGTCTGTCAGGCAGAGAGGAGGACAGCAACATGCATCCATGCAATGGATTTGTTCTCCATTTGGTTTGTTCGTCGGAAAGTGAACAGAGTAGTGGAAGCCGGATGGGAAGAATGGAGTTGAAAGGTCTTCGGGGGTTTTTTACGCGGTAGCGTTGTAGAAAGTACCTCCTGGAAATGCCGAGATGGAACTGATGTCGGTCAGGTAGAGAGAAGGAATTGAAAATGCGTTCATGCAATGGATTTGTTGTGCATTTGCTTTCTTCGTCGGATAGTGAACAGAGCAGTGGAAGCCGAAAGGGAAGAAGGAAGTTGAAACGTCTTCTGGGTGAGGGGGGAGGGGGTTTTTTTTGTTTTGTTTTTGTTTGATCCAAATGTGACTGAAGAGGGCTTTCCAGTTTGCAATAAATGGCCGGTTGGTGATCCTTTATAATGGGCTAAATGAATAAATGTTGACGGGCCGATAAGACAAGTCCGCTAATGGGCCTGGTGAGAAAAGCCTAAATTTAGTAAATATTTGTAACTGCCTTTCTTGGTTTGCTAGGTCTTAATGAAAACAAGAATAATGAACTGAACACAAAAATAATCTGGACCAGCAAAAGTAGAGGCATACATTGTTGATTGGAAAAGAAGTTTAATGAACCTAAAACATGAACAACCAGGACCAGAAAGTATGAAAATACCCAACCAAACATCATAACGTCCTCCAATCAAAGAACCTAACTCGTCCATAGAGTATCAAACAAATGGCCAGATTCGAAATGTGTCTCCGGTTATTAGAATCCATGCCAATCTTTTCAACTAGCCTTCTTGCTGCTCCTCAGGCCTTCCCTTCTAGTACATGGCTTCTTCTGCAACATTGAATATATAAAGTTTAGTTCCAACGAAAATAATTGTTTCCCAAAAGTATTCTAGACATGCACAATGAACTTCTAATATTACAGTTGGTGGATCAGGGATGTCGGTTGTATCAACATCCTCTTCAGTATCCTCCTCTGATAACTCTGGACAAGTTCTGGCATTATGAGTATCCTTCCCACATTTACTGCAATGTTTTGGTTTTCTGCCAATGTGTGGTGCTTGCTGGTCAGCTCCGTTGTTGGCGACGTTTTCACTATTTGGTTCTTCATTAGTTTCAGTATCAGTAGGTTCTTGTATTGTAGGCCTCACATAATCAGGAGGGTTCTTACAAGTGCTTTTTTATGACCCAATACGCCACATCTGCTACACATTCGTTGCTCCCCTTTCTTCCTTTTGTTTTCTTGTCCACCCGAACCTTTGTATTTCACAGGATGTGGATCCAAAAGTTTCTCTTTTGCCTTTGGTCTATTGATATCTGGGATCTCAGTATCACCTTCGTTCATCATGTCTAGCGATTCACATATGGATGAAATTCCTGTACGAGCAAGGTTGAAGCTTTCGCTTGATTTTGCCCCTTTTAACCATAACTGGGAGCTGCTTTGTTGAAGAAGCCCATATCTGAAAACCACATTCAATATTATTCTATTAAAACGTCACGAAAAAGTGAAAGCTTATGTTCTAAAACGGGTCAACGCCCTCTGGTACCACCTTAGTATTTAATAAACACATCTGAACTGCTTTCTTAAACACAGTAACACACAATTTCCAGCTTTATACAGTAACTACAAACCTGAATGTGAATAGTCTAGCCTCGTCCATATTGTGTGGTTGTTGTAAGCTATTAAGTGTCTTCGGCTTCTTTGACCACCTTAACTTTACCAACCGTTCTGGAAGTTCCAGCATACCCTCTTCTTTCAGTAGATGAACCATATGAGCGCATGGTATTCCCATATAGTGGTAATAGTTACAACTACACTCCATAGCGAAGGGCTCAATTGTGTATGTGACCTGAAAAACCTTTTGTTTACCTGACATTGTCACTCTGTAAATGCGTTGGTTTTCCGATATCTCTGAATCCATCCTTACACAAGCTCCCGACTTTTCAACCTCATCTCTGAATTTGAAAAAGGCTTCTTTTGTGAATAATTTAGACGCACTCTTCTGAAGTGAGACTAATATATTAGACGTTATTGTCCGTTCACGATGGATGGACTCAAAATTAGCTTGTTGCTCCATCTCCCTCATATCCCTAGCCCAACGATCAAAATGAATAAAGAACTCAAGTAGATTAT